ACTTAACAAAGAAATTGGACGAAAGTTATTCAAGTCATGGTATAACAACCATGTTAATATGTTGGTAATATGTTAACCATGTTAACATGGTTGCTATACCGTTTTAGTTAAAATAGGTTCAAATATACTTGAAAATGTTAACTTTTTTAAATATTGTATAAATAAAAAAGTTATTTAAGTTTTTCTCCGACCCCCCATTAAAAAATATATATATTCATTAATTTCAAACCTTTTTACATATTTCTTATAAAAGGCTGTTAAAATAAAAGGAAGTATTGGTTTGAATAAAAAAAAGAATTTGGGTTGGTGATTCCCTTACTTGATGAGAGACCTAAAATCTAAGTTTTATTTAAAAATAAATATTAAGGTAAGAAAAATTATTAGGATGGTTATACGGCCTTTATCAAAATTATTATTAAAAGAAATTTTTTACATTGATTTAATGTATCCGACAAATAATCTAGTCCTACCTTACAACCACAACAGTTGATGACGTTGCAGATCAATCACGTGGTGACAATGGTTGTGGTTGTGGTATTCGAGAGAAACCAACCTCATTAGTGTCAAAAATATTGGCCGTAAAATCCATGACAAAATTTCAACTGATGTGGTAAATCCTATGAGTATTAAATTTACAAATGACTCGTGATTACTAAAAAACCTTTTGTCGAATATTTTTATGACCACATTAATTGTAAAAATGTCAAATACTATGTTTATGTATTACAATTTAACTTACCTATTATGATGAGTATAAATTAATAATTAGTTTATAATAAAATGTAGGCTATGTTCTCTTTTTGATCTGTTTTTTGAAACGTTATTGCTTCAAAGATAATTTTTTTGACCCAATAAGGTGAAGCTGGCCTCAGTATTAAGTGGCGTATATGAAATATCTTACAGATATCCAGTAACACTTGCCCTACTATAGGAACAATAACTAACTGACTTTGGGCACTGAATTCACCTAATTATCTACCAGATAACACAATAAATGGCGATCAATATATTTAATAAGAGTACCAGTGTTTCTTGGATGCGTTGTTTGTCATATCAGCTTTTTGAACGAGTATTTTCATTAATCTAGATCTATCTGTAACAATGAATTATTCATTTTAAACGTCTTTAAAAGTTTAGCTTACAACGAGTAACCTACTGCTGGATGAAACGGTGTTTAGGTTATCTCATTGTGTATGCTCATTGTATATACAGTTTTATTGCTTCATAATTATATTCTTTCTGTCAATATTAAGCAATAAAGAAAAAATCTTTCTCTAAAAAAAAATTCAATTTAATACTCCTATTCAGCAAATGTTTCGAAGTACCGATGAAGCCGACGAAATAGAATAATATGTGTGTTAAACATAGCTGTAATTGATGTTCTATATTTTTATTCAAATGATAGATATAGCTGTACTTTCACGAGGGTTCCTGTGAATAGTTTTTAATTCAGTTGTGTTTCTGAAACTAAACAGTCATGAGACGATATGAGAATAAACTCAAGTCGTCCCAGATGTTCTGCGTTGACTCTGTTGTTGTTACATAAACTCAGCTTCCTAATGTTGAAAGTTAAAACGATTTGCCTACGTCTTGGGAAAGCATTCGTTGAGCTGAAATTGGCCAAGATCATTCCATTGCACAAATCTAATGATTTCACAGACTTGAATAACTTTCGTCCAATTTCTTTGTTAAGTGTAATTGCTAAGCTTTTAGAGAAAATTGCCAAAGACCAACTTGTTTTTTACCTCTACCAGTGCAATATTTTAAGTGAAAATCAGTATGGTTTCAGGAGTGACAAAAACATATCTGATGCTCATCATAAAAATATTCGACAAAAGGTTTTTTAGTAATCACGAGTCATTTGTAAATTTAATACTCATAGGATTTACCACATCAGTTGAAATTTTGTCATGGATTTTACGGCCAATATTTTTGACACTAATGAGGTTGGTTTCTCTCGAATACCACAACCACAACCATTGTCACCACGTGATTGATCTGCAACGTCATCAACTGTTGTGGTTGTAAGGTAGGACTAGATTATTTGTCGGATACATTAAATCAATGTAAAAAATTTCTTTTAATAATAATTTTGATAAAGGCCGTATAACCATCCTAATAATTTTTCTTACCTTAATATTTATTTTTAAATAAAACTTAGATTTTAGGTCTCTCATCAAGTAAGGGAATCACCAACCCAAATTCTTTTTTTTATTCAAACCAATACTTCCTTTTATTTTAACAGCCTTTTATAAGAAATATGTAAAAAGGTTTGAAATTAATGAATATATATATTTTTTAATGGGGGGTAGGAGAAAAACTTAAATAACTTTTTTATTTATACAATATTTAAAAAGTTAACATTTTCAAGTATATTTGAACCTATTTTAACTGAAATGGTATAACAACCATGTTAATATGTTGGTAATATGTTAACCATGTTAACATGGTTGCTATACCGTTTTAGTTAAAATAGGTTCAAATATACTTGAAAATGTTAACTTTTTTAAATATTGTATAAATAAAAAAGTTATTTAAGTTTTTCTAAGACCCACCATTAAAAAATCTATATATTCATTAATTTAAAACCTTTTTACATATTTCTTATAAAAGGCTGTTAAAATAAAAGGAAGTATTGGTTTGAATAAAAAACAATGGTTAAAGTAAAAAAAAAAATACCTAATTAAAAAATTAATATATTTACTGTTAGGTGTACAAAGTTGATTATGACATTATATATAGTACACGGTATTTGGCGATGTGGTAAATAAGCTCAAATAATTTTAATTTTATTTAACAGACTGTTATAAAAAACTTAATTTTTGGGAAATCGTGTCTAAGGTCCGCGAGCAGCTGGTGTGAACTGTTTTCTCAAACAGCTAGTTAGATAATTAAATTCCTATAGCTTAGGGGCACTATATCGTACTAATTGTTCGTGTTTATGATATCTCCACGTGATTAAGATAACCTTTTTAAAATAATACGATAATTTACTAGTGAATATGAAGCACGTTTTTTTTTCAAAATAAAACTTTAAAGGTTTTTAATTAATTACTTTGGGTTTTTGGTCAATGTATCAATCGTAAATGTGGTCAAAAATTCACAAAGACATTGTCAAAACATAAGCAAAAAAATACATTTAAAAAAAAAAAATTTAATTTAATTAAATTTAATTAAAAATTTAATTTAATTTAAAAATTTAGTGAGTCGGTGGCTCAGTCGGTAGCGTCGCGGACTTCGGGCCCAAGGCAGCGATGTCGTGGGTTCGGATCCTGGTCACTGCCGATAACATTTTATCAGTACAGTTCACCTTTGTACTGTACCGGCTCACTCCTTGCTTTGCTGTTAACGATCCACGCACGGGCGCTTAGTCTATGTGGACGGGCAAATGCAAGGTTAAAAGAGGCCGCCAACCTCTTTTTAAAAAAAAAAAAAAAAAAAAAAAAAAAAACATTTTTGAGAATTGTAAAAAATGAAAAACACCCATTTTGTTGGTGGCAGATCATGTCAATATCCGTTTGTAGCATAAAGGTTAACTGTGCTTTAAAATGTGCATGGATTTGAATGACTAACTAAACATCAATGAGTACATTTTTTTGGTTATTTGGTTTTCAAAGTATATATGAGTTTACAATAAAACGATACGGTAAAACCATTTGACAAATAAATTATTTGAAATGATTACATGACAGCCCATGTTATTAATGTCACATTTGCTCTGTTGCTGGTTATTAATGCTGTAAAATTAGTTCACAGCAACTATAATGTTATCGTCATTTAACAAGGTGAACTTCCATTAACCTGAATATTCTAAAGGTCATTGAATGTTGGTGGTACATACCAGTAACCTTTTAATATACTTCTTACTATCATTTGTGCTTTATTAAATCCCTTTACAAATACAAATCAATATTTAGTATAAAAAGATAATTTTGTTTAAAGAAAATTTAAATATTTCTTTAAGTAACGTATGATGTTGAACAGTCTTGAAATGTTTGTTACTTGAAAGCTTGATCATTTTAAAAGTAAATTTCCCTTTAGAACAAAAGTCTGGAACCACTACACGTTTAGTTACCAAAATCCCCAAACGCCGTCAAACAGATAGATTTTTTCTTAAAATTTAATTTATACAGATTTATACAGAATGTGCGTGCGTTTATATAAAGAGGCCTGCAATAGTGCAATGTAAAAATAGAAAATAATCTTTCTGATTAAGGTGGCTTATTATTTTATTGGATTACTGAGAGCTTCAACTGGCCAATTATATGGACTACTGCGCAACTAAAAGACAACGAAGTCCTATTACGGTATATGCCTACTGGGCAAGCTATTGATGTCTTGGCTTACCTGCCCAAAACTCTACTGCTGAGTAACCTTGTACTTTTTATATATCACAATGGTCAAATTAATTTGTTTACTAGTGAAATTCGTAATAAAAACAATTCTTTGTTCCTAGCATCAAACCTAAATAGTGATTGAGTGAAGGTTTATTATTTTAATTTATGTATATACGAGCCTTGCATATTTTTAGTATGAACCGAGTAACTAAAGAACAAAGCAAATATTAATTTGTTGAGGCTGCAAGCTCGTACCAGTGGGGTAATTGAGATAGGTAAGGGAAATAAGGGATTTGATCATTCCCGTTTCTCGCTGAACGTTGCCAAACTGCCCTTCCTTGCCTGAAAATTTTGACGTGGCTACATCAATATTTCTTCCTCACTCGAAACACTATTATAATACTATCTAATATACGTGGCTTTTCACTACGCCCGCTCAAGTAATATTGAAATATTTTTAACCTCTAGACAAATCCCCTCTCGCTGGTGGTATACATGAAACAGGGTACAAAGCTGGGTAGGGAGGAAGGTGTAAGACTGTAGTGGGTGCTAAGGGTACGGGTTTGGGAGGAGTTGGGCAGAAACTGGGAGGGTGGGTTTTGTGAGGTGAGCTTGAACTTCAGTTTCTCCGCGACTTTTCTGCTGAAAACATCCCTACACAGACGGGATAGCACATTAAACACGGTTGGTAAATAATATTAGAAATAAATTCTTTGTAAAGTAACCTGTTAGGTATTCACTAATTTAAATAGACCATAGAGTTATACATTATATTTATTGAATTGATAGTGTATATAAAAAGCATAATGTTTAAAAAAACAAATTTTTAAATATTTGATCAACTATAAAATAAGAAATTCATTTCGTTTTACTTATTTATTGCGTTAATCTTTTTCCTAAAATTTCAAGCGGCATGATTTATTAATATAAACTACTCTATTACTATTACTACTTAAATCTACTGAACACTTACAATATGAATTTTAAAATTTGTGATACTGGAAAAGTACTTCAATAGGACTACATTTTCAAGTGTCAATAACGATGTATACAGTTTAAAATAACATTTTAGCGTGTAATGAAGCCATAAAGAAGTTCTATAAACCCCAAAATCATTTATAACCATGCTATGAATATACTAAAATTATAAAATGAACGATAAATATGCAAATAGTAAAGAGTACTTGTGAAAGCATCAAAAATAAGTTCATATTGAGGAATTGAAAATTTATGAACACATTTATGCGGTAACAGCAGACTGTAAAAGAAGCAATAAGAATAATCCTATCAAAGTTGCGGCTTGCTATCTTGTGATGTTTTTGTGTTACGTGATGCATTGCGTATCGGAGAGAATAACAATATTTTCGACGATTTTTTTCAACGCTAGTGGCTAGGCTATTTAGGTAAAATGTATCTATATTTACATTTTTTACCCGTAAAAGTATTTCTATGCCGGAAAATGAGGTGGAAAATATACATGTACACACTCTAAAAATATAATCCGTTATAAGCGCTCGTATATAATTTAATATTATACACATTGTATAATATCTGGGCTTCTATAACTGAACGAATCAGTCCTTATAATGCAAATGGGTCTTATAATTCGTGAATATTATAAGAATTTTACTCACTAGAAGGCTTCAACAAAGTTGAGATGGGTTTTAAATATATATTAACACTGTGTGCAATAAACAAATGTTGAATGATCAGATTGTTCGTAACAACAGCAAAAGCAACAAGCCCCTTACTTAATAAAGATACTTAATGTAGGACTCAATACAACTATAAATAACATTTTTAAGTTCTTTCAATTGGGATATTTTCCATCTTAAATTTTTCCTTTTATCATGCAAAAATAAACAAACATTTTATTAAATTAGGTACAGTAAGTTATGACTCGAGTTCTCAAATCAGCTTATGGAAGGGGCTTTGGAGGGAAGATAATTGAATCCTTAATGCCAAGTAGCACTTTCACTTAATTTCCAAACATTTTAATACCATTGAATTAAAAACAATTATGCCACATTACCGTACTACTATATATTACCAAAATATTAAAAATTATTAACACCGCAGGTGCAAAGTCATCCTTATGAAGAGTTAATATATCTATAACATTCTAAAACTGATTGTTTGTCACTATATTTCGTAATATTTAACATGTTAATTTATTTAGTTTATCATTTGCACTCCCCTCGTAGGAGGGCGCATTTGTTGAGCCAGTTGCAAAATGTTGTTGTGTATAAAACGTAAATTTCCTTGCACCAGCTTGAATTTTAAAAGCCAACGAATTGAAAGTAAATGCTCTTAGTAAATCGATTGACAGAAACATTGATGTTTTCTTCGTAGGATAGACAATAGCATAAAAGAAAACATGTGAATGTTTCCGAGTAGCTTTTAAGTTTATTTCCGGAATAAGATAAGAATTAATCAATGGATATCAGACAAATATATTGTTGTTGAAAATCTAAGATTTTTATAGGATCGGTTATAGATTTAACTGTGGGAAATAGCTTAAACAAGGGCTTTGCTCAGTTACGCGGCTAAAGAAAATTTGGCTAAACACAATTTAGTTATTTAAATAACTGTACAGTATTTATAACATATTTAAAACACGACTAGCGCAATTTAAAAGGTTTTTAATTTTCTCTAAAATAATTCATCTCTGTAACTTTTACTTTAACTAACAAAGTTATTCGGATTTAATTATTGTTGACATAAATGCGCTGGAACTAATAAACATGTCACAGTGTTGACAAATCTGACTAAGTCTATTCGATTATTAGTGTGGATAGTTGCAGTTATGTTGACACAATCCTTTGAATAGTAAATCGGCTGTGAATAGCATCAGTACAATGAAAGTAATTCATAATATGGTCATGCTAGTTGAATAAACTAATTCAAAGAGAACCCCTCAAAGCCATGCAAACATGATATAACGATCAAAATTACAGTACTCATAAATCTAATTTATATAGCCTAAAAACATATAATTTAAGTTGAAGCACATTATAAACATAACATTTTCTTTTTATAAATATCCCACGTAAACATTCTGATCGTGAATTATTTAATAACTTAAAAAAGTATTTAGAAACTTAAAGATTAGCCTACAATGACTATATTTGTAACAAGTTTCAGCGGAAAATTGCTAACTAGGCCTACTATATTTTAAATTAGAGTGTAGCCACTAAATACTGGTCTCATTTATTTATATCTATATAAGTTCTTCTAACTTTAAGACAGACTTTAAATCCCAAATAAAGTTCGGATTTCTTGTTTTTAACACTCGTTTCTCCAAATTTAGATTAAAAACATATCAATTTTGGAGCTAATAAAGCTCTAAGGTCATAACTAACCTCATTTGCAAAACTATATACTGAGTACAGCTTGAACAGTTCAAATAACGGTTGTGAGAAACATATATTGAGATAGGAATGTTAAAATATAATCAGCGTTAAAACAATTTCTAATAAATGAAAATTGAACTCAAATTATAAATTACGTTGAGTCAATATTTTTGAATAATTTATTAAAACAATATCGCGCCTCATCGTGTTTAAATTGTTTTACATTTAAGGTAAATGATTTCACCCTCCAGAAGTGGGTGTTATATTCAAAGCTATTTCTTTATAATTGATATAAGTTGCAATGGTTACAATGGAGACTGCATAACCAATAATCATTGACCACTTAATTGGCTAATCTAGTTCTACAACTAAGTATTTAATGTCACTAAATAAATGTGCCTTAACAATTACAGCTAAATACAAAGCAATTGTGAAAATACATAGTATAGTATATCATAGAACACAGTCTTGTGTTTTTACACAATATGATATTGCATGTCCTACATGTGTACTTTCTTGTTTCAGTTTCGATTATTTTATGACTTAATATTTTCTTATAAATTCTATTTTGATTTTTTAACACTATCGATTTATACAAGCATTAAGGAAACCTAAATGTCAAGCCAAATCTACTTTTATTGTGTATGATTTGAGGTGTTATGAAATGAATTTTAGGTGCTAGATTAACGAACTACTAGGCTAAAATAACTGCTAAGCTAAACGAATGTATTCTTACAGTGCAATAAAAAAAATAGCTAAAAGATTTCACATATATACAATTTTATAGGGTTTAAACGTATTTTAAAGATACTTAAACGTAGTAAAACCCCCCTACTTATCATGATATTAGAATGTCCAATCAGGTTGTCTTTGAAAAATAAATGATCGATTAAACAATTGATATTTCAATATTATCGAATATCAAGTAGGTTCTTTGGTAAAATATTACCTCCGAGAAGGCAAATATTAACCATTGATTTCCTGATATTTGTGTTAGATCGGTTTTTTAAGAGATAACTCTACACTAGTTTGTTTATACAATTGGATGGTAAAGGCAACCAATTGCTGTACATCCTTTAATTTACCCTCAATGATGGCGTTATGTTGGTTTTACTCACTAAATAAGGTTGCTGGTATGATTTTGCTTTTATTTACTTCATGATATTGGTTACTTTAATTAAATAAAAACTATTTTGGTTTTGAAGATTTAAACGTTATACTTTAAACAATATGTCGTTTTATCAATCTCTCAAGGTGGCGTTATCAAATTTATTATAATAATTAAAAATAGCTACCGGTATTAGTATCTCAAATAATATAGGTGCACCAACATTTTACTACAACTGTCAGTTTACTTCTGTACTTTAAGACTATACTGAATTTTGGAATCACCAAAGATTTCTTAAATAGTCGTGTTTATTTTCAAGTTATCGTGCAAAACATTTACTTTAAAGTAAGTAACTAATAATATGCTGTATATAGAGGTTATGGTAAATATGACTCGATAATGGACTAAGTTTCTGAAACATGTCAAAATAAAATAATTGTAACACAGGGTACTTAGTTATTTTTTCAATGTTTTTTTATATTTAATTTATTCAGGGTGACAAAAAAGTCTGGAAACGACTTGATATCCTTGTAACTAGATTCGTTGGAAAATTCAGACTTTTCACATCAACTCATATGTATAGAAACTACTTTTTGCATGCATTATCATTTTTTTACCTTCACCAGGGGACGGCCCATGAGGAGTAGGTACATAATCTTCAATGTAAGCATAGATTGATATGCACATTATTTTAAAGGTCTGGTCAAGTGGAATTCATTGCCAGAAACCACGTCAAAAAAGGTTCATCCGTTACAAAATGGCGGCAGTCCAAAGTTCTTGCGGAATATACCTGCAGAGGCCTTAGTATTAGTAAATACTCGTAGTGAACATTAGCCGGGAAATCTGAAACCCAGTTAAATTTGTTTTGAAGATTGAACTGAGTCTATGAGCTAGTTGACTTTAAAATACAATTTCAGCTCTCAAGCTAATGTTTAATACGAGTATTTACCAATACTAAGGCCTGTGCAGGTATATTCTACAAGAACTTTGAACAGCCGCCATTTTGTAACTGATGAACCTTTTGAGTCGCGGTTTCCGGAAATGAACTCCACTTGACTAACCCTTTAAAATGATGTGCATATCAACCTATGCTTACATTAAAGATTATGTACCTACTCCTCATGGGTCGTCCCCTGGTAGAGGTAAAAAAATGATAATTCTTGGAAAAAGTAGTTTTCATACATGTAAGTTGATGTAAAAGGTTTGAATTTTCTAACGGATTT